ATGCAAGTCCCTGGGACCTGCAGAATTGGGGACACTTATGTCTAGAATATTTTTTCAGTCATTTATCGTTGTGCACATGTCTCTATAAAGCAAACCAGCATTACTGTAAAACTGTATTTGATTACTTTCCAGTTCCACATATCCAGGCTTCCCATTAAACAAAATTATCTATGCACCTTATGCAGCAACTTTTGTTCCGTAAACCACACACAGTAAGTTTATCACTTGTGCTTTTCCAAATGTGAACATATCAAAACCACAAGTTCTGGTCTGCCAACAATGGAGACACTGGTTCTATTATTTACTACTGGTAGCAAAAAGTATGTGCAAAGATACAAGTGGCATATTGATTTTCAGCTTCCCACACCCTACAACTTATTTATAATGCATCATAAGCAGCAGGATTATTAGATAACTGCAGCATTCCAAACAGAAATTTACTAAATTTTCTGACACAAACCACATTTTTTCCCCAAATTTAAGACTCTCATCAATCTGTAAGTGCTTGTATTTCACTTCTACTGAAAAATGTAAGTTTTGTCCTCAGTAAAGACTTATTCCTGGAATAACATTTAAACCGACTAAGTATTCCTATCCGATTTATTCTATGAACATTATGTTAAATGCTATCCATTTGTTAGCAGAAGGGCTGACTCCATAAAGCAACAAATTTCAGAGCAGACTAACCAGGGGGAGGAGGAAAAATCTTTATGAATGGAGAATACCAAAGTTTTTCCTCTCAAATTAGCCACTCTTAAGAACACCAGAACTTACATTTCTAAAGAATATACATGGCTACTTGTAGGGAGAATGCAATAGATGGATACGGCCAAAAGGGGGGGGGGGGGGTGTAACGGAGGGAACCCACCAAAACAGGTGTTCCTTTTCCATCAAGTGTTGGAACTAAAAATCCACAGTCACTATCTTCTGGCTTCACTTTACTGAACACATGTACACAAATCTGAGCTGCCTCTGAAGATTAGCTAAAAAAAAGTTATGAGATATACATAGAACATTTTACACTGCATCAGTTTGCTTTCCTATTAGCTATAAATATAACATTTAGTTCTGCTCCTCGAGTCTCCAGTGGCCTTCCAAGCACTCATTCTCTCCCCTATTATTTTTGCCGACACACAAGTGAGGGAAGCCTAAGAGTTAGCAGGATACTTGCTCCTTCGTTCTTATCCTGCTACCTTGAAAGGGAAATATAGGGAGTTACTTGTTGAAGACCACACTCTTCAGCCTGGTAGAGGGCTGCAGACCAGGCAGGAGGTGGCTAGATAACGTAACAGAATAACGCATCGAAGATGCTACTTGGTGAAATGCAAGGCAAGAACAATGGGGAGTGAGACTGCAAAAGGTAACGGGCTCCTATGGTCATCAGGAGGCTATAGGGCAAGGGAGGAAATTTCTGGGTGCTCTGGAAATGCATAGTTTAAAGACTATCTCCCTGCTTGCTCTTCGAGCATGAATCAGTGACAAGATGAAAGTGATGAAAGTCAGACCTACAGGAAACACCAGTTCGAGTCAAGAGCCCACTGAGGACTACACACTGCCTCTAGTCCCCTGACATTCAAAAATCTAAGGGCTGACAGCAAACACAGCCACACTAACCTTAAACTGCCATCATAATGCCTAGAAAGATTTGGCTCCAAACCACAAAGGATCACACAGATCAGAACATGTGCTTTGAGCTGCACTTAGAGAGACAAAGTGGTAGCCAGTGAATTATAAGAGCACCACTGTAGCACAGGCAGGGAACTGAATTCAACCCTCAAACTTCCAGCTGATCTTCAAAGAGCAGCCCACATAAAAACATGTAGCAGAGCACATCTGGATGTTAACGGTGCAGGTAAGAGCGAGAAGGTCTGCATAAAGAGGCAAGATCACAGCTGTCTAGCCAGATACACTAAAAGGAGGGAGGCAGGGAGCTCTCCTGGACACTAAAAATGCTTTCATGCTTAGACATTCCCCTACTGCCTACTGAAGTTTTCCTACACAGCACAGGTAAAAGCTTCTCACCTTTTTTCACCCAAATACATAAAAACAAAAAGCTACCAACCAAGAGGTAGAGAGAAACACTGCTCCGTTCCTCAATAGAAGTGCTTTAATCCCAATAGCTACTGTGACCGTGGTAGACACCACATGTAGTCATTTTTCTGCAAGAATAGTACTACTGTCACAGGCTGAATCTAGAGATAGTGAAGAGATAAAATAAAAAAGGAAAAAGCAAGGCAAAACTCTCCTGAAACCTATCCCATTCTTCCTGCATTAAAAAAACGTTTCTCTGCCAGATAGCTTTCAGATAATTATATTACTACACAGTGTACCAATATCTGCCTACTATTAGCTTGTGTGTGTTCTCACGCTTCCTAAAAGGAACAGCAAATGATCCAGCAGAAGAGTCATTCTCCTAATCAGGGACTACTGAAGAGGAATCCCAGAACAGAACTTAAAAAGGCAGTGTCTGGCCCTTAATTCATGCTTGCTCAAAATCACCTAAGCAAACCTTTTTCAAAGTAGTCCCATCTCCAAGAAAAGACATAAGCTATGTTCTACTTTGCATCAAAAAAATATTTACTCAGTGTTACTTTCAAGCGGTGAGCTTTAACAAAACCTGGCTTGAGTTAAGGGGAGGGGGGGGAAAAACCCACTGCTAGTTACATGGGTGTCTCACCACTAATTTAATAAGAACACTGTTAAGAGTCTTGGGCAATTTGAGCATATTAGAAAAACGTTATGTTTTTCTTGCAGAAATGTAAGACACACTTTACGTTCCATCTCCATGCTGGTGAAAAGGAAGCAGCTCTTTTTGGCCAAGAAGGTCTCTGACCTACATAGCTGGGAAAACTGAAGTATGCTCCAGTATACTTTTATTTTTCATTTCAATTTTTCCCAACTTAATATCATGCAGCAACAAATGCCAGATCTTCTGGATAGAGGTGAAATACTGAAAGCTGCTATTTCATTCAACTGCTCTTCCAGCGGCAGCAAGTTGCATGGAATGACAGACTCCTCTCTACTTTTTGGATTGAAACCTCCCCAATTCCTCAAAGACCGTGCATAGTGCCTCTTTATTATCTGGATTCTTAAATATTCTAGGCAAAGACGTTAGCTAAATTTGTCAAGATGAAGTAGTATCTGCTCACTTTGATTTCAACAAAGGAATACAAGGTAATACTGATCTACCAGCTTCGTGTGTTTTGCAAAAATCTTAATAATATCCTGCAAGAAAGCGTCAGATCTTTCAATATATATATACTTGGACCAGTGAATAAATTGGTGTGGATGAGGCAAGATGTCTACTATTTGTACATATAAAAAGTTTTGAATTATACAGCCCTCAGTTCCTTGAGTTCTCAAAATGAACAGCCTGACCTTCTGCATGCATGGCATTTGGGATGTCTGATGCATCACACAGCACCCAAATTAAACAAACACTGCTACTTCAGTTGAAAAGCTTCCATTAGTTTTTCCAGCTGCTACAAAAGAGATTACAGAAGTCTGATAACTTTTACTGGATTTGCTCTAAGAGGTGCAGCAGGATAACAAAAGCCAGATTCAAATGGAAGCTAGGAATGACAGAGCTAGCCAAACCCAAGACATGCCATGAAGGTGCCAAGATAATATTGACCTAACCACTTAATAAAAACTTTCACCATCTTTGCAACTGATCTACAGCACCTAGTGCCAAAAAAGGAAAAGAAAAGGAGGGGAGTAAGCTACCACAGAGTGCAGAGATGTTTGCCCCGACGAGGATGGTAAAGAGGAAAGAACGCCTAATCTGAAGGAGAAAGGTGGTCAGCCATGTTCGTCTGAAGTCTAGCAAGGCAAGGCAAGGCAGGATGGCACCTTAGAGACTAACTGGCTCAGAGAGGCACAAGCTTTCATAGCAATAAGTGACTTCACGCCTCTCTGAACCAATTAGTCTCTAAAAGGTGCTACAGTGCTCCATCTTTACATCTGAAAGACAAACTCAGACTTTGGTTCTAGGGTATCAGCTACTAACACAGCCAGCATAGAAACCTCAGAGGTATTTGAAAGGGGGATGGACAACTTAAGACCAATATTAGGAAACCAACTTTAAATATTATTTAAACTTATGGCAGAAAGACTCAACCAACATTTCCTCTGCACCCAAACAACAGGCACGTTGTATCCCAAGATTTCCTGGATACAGGTTTGAAAGAGATCTAGGGTTTACTTACCCTAGATCTGTAAATTTTATTTGGGAACAGTGGTTAAACTTTGTTCCAGCTAACCTAGTTTCTACTCTTGTTTTGTGACTTATTGCTAAGCAACATGGGCAGCATCAAACCATGAGAAGAAACTGTTCCAGCCTAGACCAAAAGTTAGTCTTTCTTCTCTCCTCACCCTCAAGATTGTGTCCTACTAGCAGTACGCACAATTCCCAGACAGAGCCAGCTCTCCAGCTAAAGGGAGAGCTGGAAGTAGCTCCTTCTTCAAAAGCCTCTGTGCCTCTGCTCTTATCCCCAGGAGCTACTTTCAAAGTGCCTGCAGGACAAGAGGAATCAGTACCCAGAGCCATTAAACTCACAGGCCTGTCAAGCCCAATTCCTCTATGCATCTTGCTGCACCTTACCACTCCTTCATTCCCTTCCTTTTAAAGATTCTCCACTTCATCCTCACCTTCATCTGCTCTCTTTCTGATTGCCCAAAAACCCATCTGTGATCTCTGTAAGAAAAGCGCTATAGAGGAGAGCCACTGTTTTTCTGAAGTAAGGCAAAAAACATCCAGACTTAGTTTATGTGGAGGATCAACCTTAGTGTATTCCTATATATATCAGCAATAGTAAAGGATTAATACATTTTCAAAGAACCTGTAGAAGCCGAGTCCAAGAAAATGCAGGACCCAGGGGCCCACAGTACATGTTGTCTGTGTTATAAACTAAGAGTATGAGCTCACGCTAATGAGTCATTTTCTTTTCAGTAGTAGATAAAAACCGATCACCTCAAGTACAAGAATTAAGATATCCTACCTTTTGTTAATAGGTTTTTCATCTTTCTCGTAAGGCTTCACGAACCATTTCCCAATGCGCACAAAATTCCGGTTCATTAAACACCGCTCCAACAGGTTGTGAACTGCCTTAAAAAGCAGAGTGCGACATTCGTAGGAAAGTCCGTTCTCCCATACGCCATCTTCCTCTTCTACAATGCAAAGGAGGGGGGGAAAAAGGCAGTCAATATCGCATCCCCTGCTGAGATTCAAAGAAATAAAGGCTAAACAGACATCAACATTAAATGCCAAATGCAGCATTAATTTGTGTGCGATTACAGCATATGCTGACATTCCACCACCCAGTCACTGTGCATGGTATTAGCACCCCTCCCCCCACACCGCGCCTTCTGCAAAGCTCGATCTATTAACTAATGCTCACACGGTAGGTTATTAGCAAATATAAATAGTTGACTACAGAAACATGTTTTTAATTAAAAGATATCCACACCCACAAGATTAATGGAACTTCTCCCCAAAAGGTAACCACTGCTATATTACGCATTATGCACAATAGCTTATAAATGCTCTCACACCTTGCCTAGTCTGAGCTGCTCACCACAAAAAAGGCAACGGATAATTATGCTAAAGGTATTTCCCAATGGGAACTGGGAACCTAAATACCATTAGGTATCTAGTCCTCAATGTTTAGTAGCATCTTGTCCATAATGTTATGAGGTGGAAAAAGAAACAGGCTTTGGGAAACCCAGCTGTCCATCCTTAATGGCAAATCTTCTCTACATACAGGGTGTGTCTACACGAGATGCTAAATGTACAGCAGACTAATTCTACTGTACATTAGAGTGTCACGGCAAAAGCCGTGCTATTGCACTAACGCGCAGTACAATTAGTCTACTGCACATTAGCATCACTAAAAAGGTGTGTGCCGGTGCTACTGTGCAGCATCACCGGTTATTGCACATTCAGTTAGCACCTGTTATTACAGGTACTAGATAATGTGCAGTACCTACAGCACAGTAATGCACATATAGGTGTGACTACAGAGAAGCTGTAACCAACTAGATGAAACTTGTCCCACATTACCAATGTGCCCACCCTAGCAATCAAAATTTTGGTTATTTTTAAGCTGGTCTCCAATAAGCTCATATTTGTTCTTCAAACTTACTTGGACAAATCAAAAGCAAAGGTCATTACTTTCCATTAAAAATAAAAACAAGAAAAAAAAAGAACCCTCCAAGGAGAGAAGCTTTTCCCTACCCCCACACCACACGACTGTTATCCTTGTCTGACTACAAGTGGTGCTACTTCAAAATATTTCTTCCGAGATGTACTACAAGAAAAAAGCATCATAGGACCATTGATACCAAAGGTTACTGATAGAAAACACCATTCCTGGGTTTAACAGCACTAATATTTACATGTGCCCACTTTACAAATATTACACCCACATGTGCTTCAAAACCTTCCAGAACCTGAAGAGTGCCAACATTTAAAGAAAATGGAGGGGAAAAAAAAAAAAGATGTGCTGTGTGACTGGTACTCCACAACTATAACTCTTCCCTCTTTTAAAACAACAGGCCCAAGTTGTGCAGGACTCTACACTTCTTTATTCTCAAAGTGCACAGGAAAATAAAGAAGAGTTGCATGGCAATAGACATTTAGACACTTAGACTTCATCTTAACCGGTATAAAAAGAGCATTTAAGTTAAACTTAGAAAATATAAACTACCTAAACCAAAAATATTCTCGCCCATCATGCCTACTTCAAACCACTAAAGACCAGCCAAATGGCAACACCTCACTATCTCCTAAAGACTTCCCTTGGTTGACCAACTTCAGCTAATCCAGAGTCCTGTTCCTAACAGCTAAGCATACCACAACATGTTTAAACTTCCCCAACAAATATACAGAGATAACTAAGCAGAGATGCCGTATGACAGCACATGAATGAGCAGAAATGTGGAAATTTGGCACGGACCACAGAGCTGGATTAGGAGGATAAGGAGTTTTCCATTCTCTTATCTTCTGGACATAGCTAGTGAAACATCAACCTCTAGAGGCTAGTGACACACATTTTAGCATATGTGAAATGCTACAGCTGTTCAAGCATACACACCTCTTTCAGACATTCTTATATTCCAGAGCCTTTGTGGTCATGTACATAAGCTTCCTGCATAGTGCAGCCCAGGTAAAGGACCCCTAATTGCTCTAGCCCAGGGGTCAGCAACGTTTTTGGGCAGAGTGCCACAACCTCAACTTGTAAGATGTTGGGGTGCCAAGGGCAGACGGCGGCAGAGCTGCAAGGGGCCCGATCCTTACTGTGGAAGCACAGCGCCTGCCTCTTCCCTGCCATCTGACCCAAGGCACGTGCCAAGCAAAATGCCTTTGCATGCCATGCTCTGGTTGCCTACACCTGCTCTAGCCATAGCTGGACTTGGACTTCCCCTCAGACTGCAGGGCAAACTCCGGCATCTTGCTGTAATGAGTGTCTGGATCAATACAGCAAGGTTCAGAAAGAGCATATGAAGAGGAATGACTGAAAAAATTGTGTGGGACACAACATGTAGGACCGTGGCAACTTTTGTTAAGGATAAATCAGGTGTATTCCACCCACCCTGAAAGCTCCAGGAGGCAGATTTATGGTTGTGGAAGGGCATGGTTTGAGAAAAACCTGGAAAACTCATGTTTTTCCAGGTTTTCAGAGGTGTAAGCATATGAACAACAACTGCTATTTAAAAAGAATAAATATTTGCTTTAGAGCAACCATCTGGATAATACAGCAATCTATTAGAGAACTCCTTTACAAAGTGGCATCAAGGTACTGCCATGGTTTCTCTTTATTATAAGTTTCAATGTCAGAGTGAGAAATGTTTGAGCTCAGGCAATTCTTGTTTCCCTGGGCTCAGAAATATGTAAATACACACTTAGAAATGGCCCCTTATCCTACATGTAGAGTTGCTGTTCAGCATATACTGTTCAACTAGTGGCAAACAGCATGATATAACAAACATTAACTACAGAACTTAATGATATTGGACTTTAACTGCACAATAAACCCTGCACCATTTCAAAGGTTAAATGCTTGGTTCCTATATCACTCTCCTATTATTTAAAAACTTAAAAAAAAAAATCCCCTGCATGTTAGCTTATTTTATGGTAGCTCTTAGAACAGGCATTTTCAGTCACTTTGCCCAATTTTGTTTTGGGGTAGCAGAGTATAGCTGGGAGGAGGAAAAGAACAAACAAGAATCTCAGCAGCTTCAGCAATAATTAAATGCATGCTCATCAATGGTCAAGGTACAAGTATGAAGGAAGCAGGTTCTTCCAACCATTTTATTTTCCTCCAAAGCTTTGGCAAGATACCAGTCTTGCAATTTTGAGCTAACAACTTTGGCTGACAAAACGGCTACATAAAGTTATTATTCATAACAATTTTCTTTGCAAGAAAGCTGGCCAAATTCTGCAGTACAATTGTGTTAATGGCACATTTAGACAGAACCTACAGAGCTCTTGGATTTTACAGGAGAAAGTCATATTATACTGGGAGAGGGTCAACTTTCTTCTACCATACTTTAAAAAAAAGCAAGGGATGGGGGAAGGGGGAGGAAGAGAGAGACTTTTATTATAATAGATAGCACATTACAAGCACACAATCTGACTAGGATCTATTTTAAGTATTCTTTCCTTTTATCTCAAATCTTTGGCTCTCAAGAAACATTTTATAGAAAGTGGTTGCTTTATTACTACTGACTAGCATGTGCAATCTTCAGCCACGTTCGTTAAGTGTGTGTTAGAGGAGGTAACCCTTAATAGAATCCCTCTCCTTTTCTTTAGTGTTTGAAAATGATTCTCCCCAATAAGAACAAACTTGGCAGACAGAGAACACTAGCTTACTCTAGGGATACTTCACAGCCATCTATAGTCTAATTTCATATACAGTAGCACACTAAATTTTGAATTTCAGATATGAACACCAGGGGGATACTATTAAGCTTTGACTAAAATAAACTGGCCTAAAACTCTACTCAAAATACCAACAACCCTTGTTTTCTAAAAGAGAGACCCTCCAATATACACGACACTGATGATGATCTCACCTTTAATTAAAATGCAAATCATGACAAGGCCTGGGAATAACCTTAACTAAAAGATGTCTGGTACAACATTTGGAAGGTAAGATGTAAAATTTAAGCTTCTTTTATTTAAGATGTTTCCACTTAACTGAATGTCTGCAGCACTTTAAGACATCAGGCACATTTTTTCCTCCATTACTCTAATTACCTGGAGAACATTAGGTAAACCTGATGCCTTCTGTGGGGGGTCTGCTCTGCCCCTGTTGGGCACCACGACACTCAGGGAGACCCCTCCGACCTCTCTGTTAGAGCAATCCTAGCAGGCGAGATGCATGTATACCTTACAAAATACAAGCAAGCTTACTTCATCTTCAAAGTAAAAAGGAGCAAGAGAGTCTGAGTTCAGAAAGCCTCCAAAACTGCCGTACACACACATTGTTTAATGCGCCATTTTCTTTGGCAAAATGGTAAGAAATCCCATAGAGAAACTGGAATTAACAATAAGATAACTCCAGCGGCAACAGGCTTGCCTTTAAGTGCCTCTCTAAAGCTAGCAGAACTCGTGGTAGAGGTGATATCTTTTATTACACCAACTAGATTTTTCCAACAAAAATTCTTTAAAGCCAAGGATACATAAGCTTTGTTCATAGCACTGCAAGCCTAGGAATTTAACGATTAAAAAAAGCCAGGATTTTTTTTTTTTTTTTTTTTTTTTACTTTTACACACTGCTCTTACCCAGAGATGTGGGTTTTCCGGAAAATTTTCCAATTCCCTAAATAGAATGTGATCTGATTTAGCATGTTTATTTGACCTGTATTTAGTAAACAAAACTAAAAAAGTACCCCCATGTTAATTTTATGTCCCAACAGCCACAAGCATTTGAACTGAAATACTTGATTAGGAACAACATTAAATACAGCACACTTAATGTGGTTTAAATGTTATAGTCAAACCCATTCAAAGCTTTATGTGGAAAGAGATGATTTGTATTGGAATACTTGTAAGGATGTGAAGACAATACACAATACCATGCACTTCCCTTACACTGTTTACATGTGAGGACATATACAAAGGCACTGAAAACTGGGTGTGCTAAAATGAGTGTGTCGACAAAAAA